AGTGCAATTGAGTGAAGGAGATTGGAGAAATAGCCAAAAAACCATGTAACTTTGACCTGAAAATCTGCACAAAAATCTTGTTCCATTACCCACCTACCTTTCTGAGCATGTGGTTTGAAAATAATGCGAAGTTTCTGAAAAATCTCTACACCAAAATCAAGCCTACTAAATTTCCAGCAAGTGAGGAGAAACTTCAGGCAAGGAGAGGGGAAAAAATGGGCAGGAGAAAGAGAGAAAAGTAAAAGTCGTAAGTGGGGCATAACTTTTCAACCCTAAAAACTATCTCCAAATTTTGCTTTCTGCGCGTGCCCGAGATTTTCAGGCTGCCATTTTGCATTTGGATCGAAAGGCTGTCAAGGGGTTTTTGGTAAGTTTGAGCTTTTAAAACCACAACAGTGACCTGAAATCTGCTCGACTAGCTTCAAAACACAGTTTTCCACAAAAGCTGTGGCCATTAATGGGTTAAAGAATTTTGTCTCCTTTTTCCCTGACCATTTCCTGACCTGTGACAACTCACTTTCAGTGCACCAGAGTAACTTACCTTCCTTCCTGGCTTGAGACGGACAACTCTCAGAGCTGAAGGCACCACCATTCTCTTTTCCTACAAAATGATTATAGTAAAAAAACAAACGGATGTCGGATCAACTTGAGCAGCTGGCAATGTATAATTGTAACAACATGGTATAAAAAAAAGGCTGCTTAGGGAAAAAGGGAAAAAAATTCTTAAATTCTTCCACAAATCAAAATACTATAACTTCTCATTTTGTACCACATTAGCCATTTATGACGGCAACAATCGCTATGATAATAATCTTATTTTGGGTAGCATAGAGAAGATAATCCGTCTGGATGTTGACAACATCTTACTGTTATAGGACAGTATGAGCAATGTAACTTACCTTGTCATGCGGAGGAGGCACACCATCAAATACTTTTAGACGGTTCATTGCCTCTGTTCCTCTCTTGTTCTTGTGTGGGATCATTCCTACACAAATACCAGGTATAAGCTCAACTTAAGTATTTGCTAAGGCAAATTTTGTATTGTTACTCTGAACAATTCTCTCTATAGCAAGCCAACAAACTATTAATCCATGGATAAAACAGGAGTGACTTTAAAGGTAGTCTTAGTAACCAAAAATGTAAATTTACCTCTTACGGTTCTCCATACAATTCTGCTTGGAGCACGGAAATGAAAAGGTCCCCTGCTTGGTTTGGTGTTAGTTCTCTTGCGAAGGAAATCAAGATACTTCACTGAAAACAAACATCAGGACATAAAGTCAATCATTCTCATAACTTAATAAGAGCAGAATATTCAGATATTTTGACATCATATTTGTTCAAATACTAAATTTGTTCAAATACATAGGGCCAATAGAAATGAATTTTTACTCAAAGCCACTAGCTATGACTGGTGATAAAACATCCTTTTTTCATGCTGTGCACTGCAAAATCCTTTGAAATAGACCTTAGTGGGAATTTTTTTTCCTTTTGTGAATCACTTTCTACTTTGACTTAACAAGCAATCAATTGCCAACTAGGATGATCTTAAGACTGTCCACTATTTTGGCTAACTCTGTCATCTGCTACAAAAAAAATTAGCAAAAAACCCCAGCTATTATGGCATACAAAGCTATTTCATATCAGGGGATACATAGAAGTTATAATGTCCACTCTGTACAACTTAAGAGTTACTGATCAATTTCTAACAGAAACATACGCTGGTGAATTGAGGGTCTTCCTTCTGTTACTTTAAGTTCTATACTGTAAGTTACAGACCAAGTTTTTTCCAATTTGATTATGGCCCAAGAGTGAAGCCCTTAGGCCTTAAATCAGAGCAGAATAAAACAAGGTTTGGTTAACTAGCAATATGGACCTAGAAAATGAGGTTAGTCCGATGTTTATTCCATCTTTGGGTTAAAATAGAGGGGGTAGATTTCAATTCAAACAAACTTTTGAATTTAGTGGGCCTTAGAGTGAAATAAGGCCCACTAAATTCACCATTAGTAGCACACAAACTAACTGAGAGACCTAATAACACATTTTATGATGAAGTGTAAAGTATTTAGGACTTGCATAAAAGGGCAGTTAGAGGTGACCTTGAATAGTAGAGTTGGAATCTAGTAACCTGTTTGTGCCCATCTGCTCGTAAGCAAAGAGGATTGTTTCATAGCAAAGACAGTTCCAAACATGCTTCTTTTCAAAAGTTTGCCAACCAAATATATTTGTCGTATAATCTATTGCCATGAGATGATTTGGAGAAAATGCATTGATATTAAAACTATACTCAGAATTACTGTAATGCAAATACAACTTACACTTGTTCCTGAAGAAGCTGCCACTGATGTTTACTTGTTCACAGCGTACAACAACTATTCTTTGCCCTGTGCAAAAAGACACAGGTTTAGTCTGGGAACTCACAATGAAATGTCATTTGTTCTTTGGGTCATTACACAGTAAAATCAATGGACAACGACTCCTACTAAAAATTGAAGTTATCAATCAAAGTTGTCCAAATATTTTGGGAGTATGCTTAGAAAGGTGTGCTGAATGAGGTTCCATTAATTGTTGGAAGTATGGGGGTGTAAGTACAATTCTAAATGGAACTGGCAACACCACGGTAGACAAATTTTCTAGAAGATTTGCGAGTACACCGACTGCACATTGTTGACCAGGCAGAAACATGTTTAAGGAATCATTTAAAAACAACACTTCATGCAAATAAATTTAACACTTCCTTTCAATCAGTTTTACTTTTCTGGCTGACAATTGCTTACTAAATTTCCAAATATATAACAAAGTAAACTAGTACATGACTCCCACTAGAAAATAGAGAAGTCTAGACATAATTAAGGTTTTCAATCGACTTCAATTGATTTTTACCATGCTCAAAGCCGACGATGACCCTCAGCTGAAAAATGTAGTAATATCTTGCCTTGTTTACAAGACTTGCTTTCGTGAAATATTCACCAAGGTAGCAGACGTACTCTTAACTGTGGTTGCGAGTACCACTTACCTGTTAGAAGGCTCTTTGCGATCGTGGATGCTAACCGGCCTAACAAATGGCCTGAAGCGTCGATGACAATTGGCTGCAATTGAATATTAGGGCAGTTTCAAATTTATACCCACAAGTTACGGTTAAAATAGCTTTGTTATGATTTACGACAAATTATTTCCCACATGTTCGCCAAAGATTGTTTCTCTAGTAGTGGGTAATTCTCGGGCATTTTGACTTAATATCACAAAAGTAGACCAGTCAATAGAAGAATGAATACAATAGTTAATATAATTCCGTATTAGTTTAATTTAAGAGGCGATCGTAAGGGAGAACATCGTCAATTTATTCTTCGCCTTTACCTTTTCAAACCCCATGTCGGAGCTGCAAAGAGAAAGGCCGACCTACACATGCGAGCCTGATATCAGGGGAGGCCAAACGGAATGGGAAGGGGTGAGCCAGGTCGCAAAGCACAATCTTGGTCACCAGTTTCTTTCATCCAAAAGTGGAATAATTTAATATTTATAAGATGGAAATGACTGAAACATCAACTGGAGGGCGCCTCGCCAACAAAAATATATTAATATCCCATTAAAAAAAAATACAAGGAATGAAATTAGTTTTCCCTGGATTTTCCTTCTCCATCCTGTGACCATCAAACCAAACACATTCTACATAAGTATAAAAGGCCTAATTTTTGCAGTCTGTTTTGAGCACATAACTTAAGTCATATTGCCGTCAAGTTCACATTTACACAATCACTCACAAAACTTGGTGATGATTCTCAGTTGTAAAATTCTCAACAAAAGCATGGACTAGGGATGGCAATTTCTTGCATTAAAAGAAAAAGAAAAAAAAAACATTCCGTGCACTTTCAAGCTTCAGTGAAGCATTCAGAAAGGGCATAT